TCATGATAGTAAACTATTTAGAGATTCTGACAAACCTTGTTTGTTGTTGTGTAATATAAATGAGGTCTTTGTAAGAGAACATGTAATTATCAGCACAATTGACTAGCTGTTTGGCGTAAAGAACTGAGCATTTCCTGAGATCTTAAACGTAATTTTTATAGATAGGCATGATGAGATCTGAAATTGGAATGATATCTCTGGATATCAGATTATTTGAGCTTAATGGAACGTTAAGATTAATGTTCATTTTGTTAAGAGTACTAAGCAGAGTCAGGAGCCAGTCATTTTTAGACCTTTGGGTATTGTATGGCCACTGTACTAGAGGAATGATGTGCAATCATTCCTGGGTTTGCAGTTGTTTGACACGAATTTTGAATGTAAGGCCTAATAAGTTGGATTCATTGGCCATCTGCAGAAGAGCACTGCTAAGATTCTGAATAAGTCTTTAGTGGAGAGGGGTAATATTGTAAAAATAGTGTGATAGAAAAAGTGAAGACGGTGTTTTTCGTGAAAGGTGCAATTTAGAATAGAGGAAAGCTACGTATAAGGCCATTATTCTAACACAACGTTTTTCAGGAGGGAGTTTAAGTTGCAACTTATATTCTATATGTAGAAGAATAACTGTATTAAATATGTATGTAAGTTGAGTGTCCATTAATCTTTTTGTTCGCATTATAGTGATTGCAGATTTAATTTCTTTATGAATTTGGTTGGTGATAAATGTTCTGTTGTCTGCTAGCGAGATCTAGACTCTGAGATACCTGACACTTTCCCTGGGTTTACGTGCAGTGATGTGATGGATGACGTTAAAATTGGCTATAGTGAGAGGCTCTAGCTGGGTCTTATTTACTAAAAGTTCTAACTTGGACCAATTAACCTGGATGTTGTTAAAGGAATAGAAACTGTTAGCAATTCTAATGATTGATGACAGATTGTTAGCGGACTTAGCAATCCATAGAGTATCGTCCATAAATGCTAAAGCTTGAATTGTTGTTGAAAGGTACTTCGTGAAGGGTAAGCGAGAATCAGGTTGTCAACTGCAATTTATTTTGTATCTGTGAGGCGACTCCTGAACTCTTAAGATTCCGTTCCTGATTATTTGTATTATTTAATATGTTCTGATACTGATCACACTCAGCTGTAATATTTTGCAAAGTTACTTGAATAGTATTTAATGAGCCTCTAATACCATCTAATACATTGGTAGGATTTTACATAGATGTACTAATGCCTCCAATATGATTCTCAATCTGATTTAACTCTCTATTAATGTTTCTAATAAGATCAACTGTTACCATATCTAAATTATCTATTGGGATTTTTTTATCTATAAGAATTCAGATTCTTGCTTTAAGATGCTCGACTTTATTTTCAAGCTCTATAATTTGGCTATCCTGAATAGACCAACTTTATCTTTGAATTTTATATCTTGCTGTAATATTCTAAGTTGTTTTTACAGATCAGATATTTAGGATTTAAGTTCTACTATCTCACTCTTATAGGCTATAATACTATTATCTTGAAATGAAATTGTTTAATAATATTGCTCAAGCTCTTTTATAAGGGATCAAATTTTTTTTTATAACTTTTATTAATAGAAATCTCATTATGAAGCTTGTTACGAAGCTTCTGATTCATATCTAAAAGCTGTGAATATGCTAAATCAAATATGATATCTCATTCTAATTTATAGTACTATTATAATAATTCTACCTTAAGAATGAGCTAACCGCAAATTGTGATAGATCTGCATAATGAGCTTTGTATAGTCTATAAACTTCTGTTTTATAATATACATAGTTTTCATCTTAATGCAAAAAAATTATATAAAGCATATCAAAAAAAGAATATTCTTTTTGAATATAGGATATTATAAAATGGTTAAATACTAATATAACTATCAAATCTATCAACAACCATTGCTATATAAAGCTGAAGTGAGTTTTTTAAAAATTAAGATTCCAAATAAGGTTCACTAGTGCGATATTTTGCTTTATACTCATGATGATCAGGATGGTAAAAGGGTATTCATTTGTAGTTTGCTAGTTATAGATGTTGTAACACATTTTAAGGATGAACATATATTAATATCAAAAAGAAATCTAAAAATCTGAAATGCGATCAAAGATATATACGAGGATTTCTCTAATCCACTCACATAGCCAGCATTATTAATAATTAATGACAATGTCTCATTTTGAGAAGTATTTTCATAAGAAATGAAACAATACAATGTCTTGATACGTGTGATCGATCTCTATAGTTTTAAGAGCCTAGCTTTAATCAAAGCATTTAAAAAAAATTTAGCGAAATTAATATATAAGATTCAATATATTATAGAGGGATGACTATCTGAAGGGAAATGATTACGGTTATGAAAAAAATATTCAAAAAGTACATTGACTATATGAATAATAGTAAAACTCATTTTATTAGAATGTCAATAGTTCATGCTATGATTCTGAAAGAAGTTAAATTAAAACTTTCTAGTAAAACTAAGCGAGCAATTAGAAGATATGAAGAGATAAAGTTAAAAAAGGATATAGCAATTAGATATTTATTGAAACCAGATGAATTAGAAAGTGATTACAGGTATCGAATAACTGATTTATACTGGTTGTTACATATTTATAAGATTAAAAGAATTGTTATTAGAAGGAATCTATCACAACTAGTCTTATATTATTTTGAGAATGAATTCATTGAATCAACTGCTCATCTGATAGGATGAAATCCCAAAGGACCTTTTAAATATGAGAAACTCCAAGTAATTGAGGAATCAGATAAAATTGAGAAAAATACCATCCTACTGGATTTGTCTATTATATTCAAATTACTAATGATAAATTGACCGAAGTCTATCAATATGCTAAAAAACATAGTGGTTAATGTCTTGGTAAAACTGGTCAAATAAATAGTTATGATATGTATTTTTGGTTTTGTGAAAATAGTGCGTATCAGTGGGAATATTCATTAAAATATATCATGAAAAAATTTGAATGGTATTCGCTATATCATCATACTAGATAAAGAAATTGCTGATATATTTTTGAGAATCTGTTAAACAAAAATTTCCTATCATGCAAGCTGAATTTTTTGAATAGAATGCAACTTAATGAATATAATAAGGAATTGCATTTTGCATTCGAATATCAAAGTCTTCAACACTATCATTACAATAGTCTATATTATCAGGAGAATGAAACTTTAGAAATATAAAAGATACGTAATTAAAAGAAGTGAGATATTTGCAAGAAGTAAGATATATGCCTTATCAAAATTTACTATACTACTAATCTTCTATTTTATATTAAACATACTCTAATCGAAAAAGGATTCTTAAGTGGAGCAAAATCTAATCTTCTCCTTTGATCAATTGATTTTAGCAAATTGAGTTTACTAAAATTTCGCTAGAAAAATTTACTTTACTTGATATATTATTATCAATATTTAGTTTAGGAAATATGAAAGCTGAAAAGCTTGATCTAGTAGACAAAATTATTCTTCATATTAATGAGATTAAAGGTGCGAAAAAATTTAATTTACTAAATTCAATTCCTTAATGGCTCTTCATAATATTAGTTAATGGTCAGACTAATTCAAGAAAACTAATAAAGTTGTGAATCTATTATTGGAAAATAAGCTATATCAGATATTTAATGAAAAAAAATGTGGAATTAGATATATTTTGAATGATAATCTTATTTTAATCGACCACTATCTTAATGAGCTGAAATATCTATATTTCTAATCTGAATATCAGATAATTGCAAATAGCCTAAAACTATATTGTAAAAATATTACATTCTGGATAATAAAGCCTGATAAAATTCCAAAGATAGATTCATTTTCTCAAGAAAGAGAAACAGATATTATATTTAAAGACCTATATGCTGATTTGAAAAAAGTTCAAGAGAAAATTATTCCTTATTTTACTGAAAGACGTCACAAAAATATAAGCTCAATCTATGTAATGCAAAGTTTTTTTGATTGTCTAAACTAATAAAAAAAGAATTAAATTATATCATACTTTTCAATAGGTCTATCTCATGAACTAGTTCATATTCTTCACCTATATGCTAATAATTAGTATAGCATAAATGCGGATATCGATAACTATTTATGTAATCAGAACTTCATTATCTTCAATTTGATAGTACCCTGAAATTATTCTCACCAGATACGAAAAGGATGAGATCAAATTTTTTGAAAAAAATAATATTAAATCTTAATTATAAACTATATAAATGCATAGGTCAAAATGTATATTTTTCTTGATTTCAGATCATGTTCAGATTCATTGCCTCTTCACCCATAATTTTCTTTTATGAGTTATTAGAATATATTTCTGATTCTATAGTTATATCACTATGCTTCATTTTGAAAAGGATCTGATCAACAAGAGCGAAAATTTTTTTATTTTTAACAGAAATATTATCCTCTAGATGTCAGCATTTATTCTCTAACATATCAATGGACTTTTCTACTAATGCAATAGCTTTCTTTGTATCAGAAATTATACTTTTGAAAAAAGCTACTGAATTTGATAATTGGGTGACTTTCTCACCACTCTCTTTCAAAGACCTAGTTATGTTACCTTACGAGACTTATATTGCTCTTGCAAGCTAAAAAAATCTTCAATCTTTTTTTAAATATCTACTTTGATATATACAATTCATTTTCTTATCTTAATGAAGTTTTACAGTCACTAGTAAATAGGCTTTATCTTCTAATGCTCTTTTTGCTTAATATAATTTTAACTGCCTTATTTAATAAATCTTCAACTTCAGGATGAACACTACTTGCCTGTTCTAGTAATAATAGATATTTTTGTGATATAAAATATTGTCATGTATTATTTTGATTATAGATGAGAGACGAAACCCCTTAATAACAGTTGAAACTTAGACAAAATTATATTTAAATTATAATAAGGGATACGACAAAACCCATTTGATACGATGAAAACTTCATATATGCCCAAACTACAGCACCGCCAATCATAACCCCTCGCACAAAACTATTTTCAAAATACGGTTTCTTTGTCAAATCATCATGAAGCCAATTAAAGGAAAGTAATGAACCTTTTGTTATTGAAGTTTTTTTAACATCTTCTTGATTCGTTTCAATATTTGAAATAGTTTTTTCAATGATTTGATTCAATTCATTAAAATCTATATTATTATAATTCTCGATATCCGATTTCAAAAATTCTTTTAACTTCGTAAATTCTTGACAAATAAATTCTTTATCATCAGCAGTTAAATTAGTCAACGTAGTAGGAACAAAAAAATCTTTAAAATCATTATTTGAAAAAGAAAAATTACTGCCAATTAAAGTAGCTGTAGTAGAAGAAGAAGAACTCCTTTCCAAGGGAGAAGATTCATCATGACTTTCTTCACCAGACTCTTTGATTTCCATTTCATCAGGTTCTTCATTTATAGTATCACTACCATTTAAAAGAATTTTACCTTTTAAATGTTCTCTTCTTAGCTCTTTAATACCAATCATAATTAATTTGACCCATCTTTCGTTAAATTGCATTTGCCTTAATTGTTCTTCTTTTAGTCTTAAGAATTTACGCCCGGTAAGTGTAGTATCCTCTTCTACATACCTGACTAAATCTGATATAATTGCCGGAGGATGAAGGCGTAAACAATAAGTCAGATAAGAGGCTACATGAGATGAAGACCATCTTTTTGGGTCGGATGGTAATTCTGATGGTAACGGTGGTGTAAACGAAGGTAAAGTTGGTAAAGATGCTGAACGTGTTTTATTACGAATTGTTAATGAGCTATATGAAATGTGATTTTGTGTCTTTGTAGGATGAACATTTGTCATCATCGTTAACGTTTGGAGAAGGAGAAAAGGGGGGTAAAAGATATATTTATTTCGCGAATTTCTTGATATATACTGTATTTGATTTACATAGTGACACAGAGAGAAACGGGTTGGAAAATGAAGTCCAATTTTAGAATGGGAATAAATTTGTCTCATGTTAACCTTATGACCAAAATATAAAAAAAAAAAACTTTTGTGAAACTCGATATCTCGACGATTGATCAACATTATTGTAACAACGACGGCTGAGTTTATGAACGTTTCACAACAGAAAAATATATAATTTCTTTTTTTTTTCCTTTCTATTCCTTTACTTAGTTATCAGATATTTATCATGTTTTCGATACCTGTAGAGATATTTCGACAAGTTTTTGAACATTTTTTAAAAGACAAACATTCATTATTCTCTTGCCTTTTAGTCAATAAAACATGGTGTGAGATAATAGTATCTATTTTATGGAGTGAGCCTTTTCAGGTTATAAAAGGACCATCAGCAACATTAATAACGACATATCTTTCTTGTTTAAATGTAAATGAGAGGGAAATATTAATCAAATCAGGAATCGATCTAAGCAATTTATTCAAAAGAAAACCAAGTTTTGAATACGCGTCATTTTTGAGACATCTTAAATATGTGGATTTTTATGAATCATCATCAGCGTGGTTGCCAGATTCAAATAAGGATTCAACGAAAATCTTTACAGTAACAAGAGAATTATGTAAATTGTTTATCAAATGTTCAAAAATACTTAGCCTTAATATTAATTTAGAATTACTTCCTCACCCACCAGACAATGCAGATTATATGTTAATACCATGTTTTCCTAATGCAGAAACAAGTTTATTACAACTACAAGAATTTAACTGTTGTGGAACTTACGATAAGAAAGAAATTTTCATAGCGTTATCACAACTTTGTAGAAATCTAACAAGTTTAAGCATAGATTATTATTTAGATGATATTATAAAAACGTCAGCTCCAACGAAATTAGCGCAATTAATTAAAAGTCAACAATCATTACAAAAATTTAAAATTCAAACATATTACAGATCTTTATCAAAAATTATACCAGCGTTAGAAAGTCAACAAAAAACTCTCAGAGAAATAGAATTTCGTGGTATTAATTTTGAAGATGAAGTAACGTTCGCACCTCTCATAGCTTGTAAAAATTTAGAATCCTTAATATTTTTGAAATGTGATAATGTCAAAAACGAAGCAACAAAACCATTGGAAACAGCACACTTTCCAAAATTAAAAAAATTGATATTTCATGTGGATCATAATCCTCCATTAACATTAACATCATTCATATTCAACAATAATGATACATTGCAAGAAATTTCATTGGGATGGCCACCGATTTATGATTCACAAGAAGATCCAAAAATAATCGAAACGATTATTCAGTATTGTCACAATTTAATTATATTTGATGCTCATTTACAAATTCATCAATTAAAATCATTATTAATTTCTTGTAATAAGTTGGAAAAATTAATAGTACATGGTCGAGAACCTTTAAATGCTAATGAATTCTTAATCGATATTGGGCAAATGATCCCTGAAAATCTAAGGAAGCTTACTATTAATGCAATATGGTCTTTTACTCCTAACACTTTAAAAGAGTTTTTAGATTGTTGTATTGCACCTTTAGAAGATTTGGGTTTTCCTGATTGTTATGCTATTAATGATAATCATTTAATTATTTTCACTGAATATGCTAAGGAAAAAGGTACACTGAAGAATTTAAATATTAAAATATCTCAAATTACCAGAGAAGCTTTCGAGGTTGCTAAATTTAGTATTGAAAATATTGTACATTGTGGTAGTTTTTAATAGAAGTATTGGGGGTTTTTTTTAACTTGACATTATTTTATCATATATTTATTAAGTTTAAATTATACGTGGTAGCAAACTTATGTAGAAGAATGGAGTTAACTGATTACAAGGTTATTAAACAAAAAATTCATGACTTGCGTGCAATGTTTTCTTTACAATGTGAAAAGTGAATAAAATTACGTTATATGCGATATTCGCTAATTATTAAGGAATTGAATTGATCATGTTATGATTTAAGTAGAACCGTTTTTTTACGAACTATTTTCTTTTTTATGAGCAGAATTACTTTGTAAAGACGGAACATAAACACTGAACAAAAAAAAAGTATTATTTGTATGCTATTGAATGAGGAGTAACTAAATCGATGCGAAGATATTAATATTACTGTTCTGACATTAGAAATGATATAATAGACATAATAGACCGTGTAGTAATATTTGTTTCAATTTATCAAATTAATTTATAACTGTATTGCGTTTATGTCGAGGGATTCTTGTTTGTGCGTACGAGTTAAAAATATAAATTCATAAATGTTTTGGAATGAATAGAAAAAATCAATAAATTTATCTTTATCGAAATAGAGTTATTACAAAAATCCTTATAATATTGCGCTTATGTATCCAAAGGTTGTTATGATACGGCCTATGGAAAAGTAACAACCTTTGGATGAAATCAAATAATATTTCTGAAAATTTCGCCCTCATTCTATCTCGCAAATTTATTATTAAAATCTTCTATTTTAATTTTTCGGCACTATCACTATATAGTTAGTTGTTAGCTACAGTATATTAAAATTAATTACAACCATTCTTAATTATTTTTAAATATTTTAAAATAATTTATTTAAAAATTAATATTTTTATAATAAATTTTATGATATTTTCTAAGTAAAAATTCAAAAAAATGTAATTAATTAGTGATATTTTAAAGATAAATATATGATAAATTATTATGAAAAAAAGTTAAATTTTAAACTTATATACAGTATCTTACTATCTATTGATCTCAGAAATATAAAAATATTACTATTTAATAGATCTTAATGTAGTAAATCCAATAAACTAAATTTTATATTTTTGTAATTATTTTTTTAAAGATGCAATAATGCTCATATTTATTATAAAAATTCAAATCCAGTAGGTTAATATATAGAAATCCCAAAAATCAGGTATAAAAGTAGATAAAAATAAATTAAATTACCTAAAATGTCCTTGCAAGTTAAAAGCTTACTAGCCCCAAACCAATCGGTCATCCTGCTATACTTAGAAGACAATTACTAATAAAGTCCTCCTCAATACATAATAATTAGATTATTACTATGCTTCTCTCTTTTCCTTAATAATAATTCCTATCCTAAATTTAAATTCAATACAAAAACAAATAACTCGAATTATTGTTAAACCAAAAAAGAAGCTAATAAAAAATCTGACTTTAACAAGTTTCTAGTTAAGTTGTCTGATTAATTTCTAATTATAGTAATCTTCTGATATTAGAATGTCTATATCTAAGGCTAAAAATAGTATTGTAAATTCTGGCAAAATCCAGAATTTTTGAAAAAAATCTGATAAAAAATTTTCTGTTTTGAATTTTTTTTGGCAAATTTTACAAGTAACAGATCTCTATTTGAAAAATTTTCTTATGTACCAGCATATTATAATAATATATAATATAATTAATCTTCATATAATAATCTATTTTTTCAAAATTTTTTTTTTAAAACTCATGCAAAATACCAAAATCTATTATTATAGTTATTATTATTTGCAGTGATAATTTTTACAAGAATAATGTCTATTTAACAATATTTTACAAAAATTTCCCATATTAATATAGAAATTAATGATATATCTGAATTTAATATTAATATATCTAAGTTTAGAACAAGAAATTAATATTGAACTACCTAAACTACCAAATAATAATCATAAGTGTATAATAAAAAAAATATAAAATATCTAAAAAAAAGCCAAATTTTGGATCTAAAAAGACTGGTGTTTTTTAAAAAAAGTGGTTGAATATATATTCATGACTAATTTATGACATATCAAAAAATTTAATGTTTTATTTATTATACAAATTCTACAATAAGCAAAATAAATTTGAAAAAGAAGTATTTAAAATAATAAAATGATTTATTTATATAAATATGCTAATTATTAAATTTAATTAAAATTATCATTATTAAGTTCAAAAAACTTTAAATTTTCTGTGCTAAGAGAATATACTTCAACAAAAGATCATACTTATGCAATAAATCATGAAATTGTAAAGGTAAAACTTATAAAAGTTATAAATAATACTATAGATAAAACTTAACATCATATTGATACTTTAATAAAAATAGTTTTTGATTAGCAGAAAATGATATTCTGTTAAACAAATTACTTAAAGTTATACAACTTTATAGATCTCTTAAATGTTATTGAGTTCTAATTTAATCACATATAAAAACTATTTCTTTAGATATCAGATTCTATCAGCTATTTTAAATTCAATAGAAAAAACTATTTAGAAGAAATTAGATGAAGCTATTATATTTGATATAATGATTGATGAAAGTACTAATATTTCATATAAATCACACTTTATTATATATGTTAAATATTACTTATATGAAAATATTAGAATTCATTTTTTAAAATTATCTCATTTAAGAATAAAGATTCAAATCTATTTTTGAATTAATTAGATAAAAAAGATGTATTTTTTTTATAATCTATTGTTTAATTTAAATTAATTTTTAAAATTAATTTAAAATATTTTTTAGGATTAACAAATAAACTAATGTCATTTGCTTCAGATAAGGCAAGCATTATATTAGGAAAATTAATAAGAGTAACATCAAGAATCAGAGAAATTTAGTAGAAAAAAAATACTATTTTATAAATATATTGAATATATTATAAGATTGATATACAATTTTTTTTTTTAACTTCAGCAAAAAAATAGATACTTTATACAAATATTAAGAAATATTAAATCATCCAATCTTAAAGATTAAATAAATTATAAAATTAGATGACTCTTTTAGTATAAAATAGTAAAAATTTATATTTTTCAATCAAACCTTTAATAGATATATTATTGAAATTAATAACTACAATAATTAATCATATTTAAAAGTAGAATTTTATTTTTTTATGTACAAAAATTTGTGATT